TGATAAAATACCATGACCAGCCAGGCATGGTGGCACATGCTTTTCATCCCAGCACTCAGGAGGCAGAGGTAGGCAGGTCTCTGCAAGTTCAAGGCCAGCCTGGTCTACAAAGTGAGTTCCAGGACAGCCCGGGCTACACAAAGAAACTCTGTCTCAAAAAAAAAAAAAAAAAAAAAAATACCATGACAGAAAGCAACTTAAGGTAGAGATTTTTGGCTTATAGTTCCAGAGGGCTGGAGCCCATAATGGCAGGGGAGGCATGACAGCCAAAGCAGGAAGCTGAGAGAACATCTCAACTGCACATAGAAGCCGAGAGAGCAAACTAGAGGTGGGGCAGGACTACGAACACTCAGAGCCTACCACCAATGCGTGACCTACTTCTCACCAGCAAGGCTCCGTATTCTAAAGGTTTTAACAGTTCCACAGACACCAACAACAACCAGGGACCAAGTATCCAAACACATGAGCCTTTGGAAAACATTTTTGATTCAAACCACTACCATGTGTTTGAAAGGAGACTAGTTAGAAGACAGGACCTGGGGAACAGACGATGTTGCAGGTATAGGCAAGGGTCAGATCGTGTGACACCTCAGAAACTACATGCAATGCTTTCGCTTATTTTAACATGATAGGCCATGTGTTTGTTTTCTATTCCTGCCTCACAAACTACTACAGATTCAGCTGTTTATCATAGCAACTATTTGTTAGTTCACTGTTGTACAGGTCAAGCCAATCATGACTTGGTTCTCTGCACAAAGCCTTACGAGGCTGAAATCAAGACCTCTCCAAGCTACACTCCTATCTGGACCAGATCATCCTTCCCAAGCTCAAACAGTTATGGTAGAATTTAGTTCTTTCAGTGGTATTGCAATATGCCCCTGCTCTCCTACCAGCTGTCAACTCTGAGCCACTCAATTCCTGCTTCACTCTCACACACACGCTCCTCAGAACAAGTGTCACATCACATACACACACACACACACACACACACACACACACACACAAATGTATGTATATATGTATGTATGTATGTATGTATATATGTATGTATGTATGTATGTATGTATGTATGTATGTATTTAGGATCTGTTTCTCAGCCCTAACACAGTTCTCAAAAACACTTGAGTTATCAGAGCAATAGGAATGGCAGAAGCATTTTTTGTTCAAATAACTGATCTTTAGCACTGCTTTTGATCCCCAGCATAACATAAAAAATAAGGTGTGGTGGCAGACACCTGTAATCCCATCGCTCATGAGGTGGAGGTAGGAGGATCAGAGAACAAAGTCATGCTCGGCTACTGTCTTAGTTAGGGTTTCTATTGCTGTGAAGAGACACCATGACCATGGCAACTCTTATAAAGAAAATGTTTAATTGGGGTGGCTTGCTTTCTGTTTCAGAGGTTCAATCCATTATCAAAATGGCGGGGCACATGTCGGCATGCAGGAAGACATGGTCCTGCTACATCTTGGCTTGCAGGGAACAGGAAGTCAACAGACACTGGGCAGTATCCTAAGCATAGGAAACCTCAAAACTCACCCTCACAGTGACACACTTCCTCCAACAAAGCCACACTTCCTAATAGTGCCACTCCCTATGAGATTATGGGAGCCAATTACATTCAAACTACCACAACTACATAGTGAATTTAAGGCCAGCCTGGACTATATAATATATAATAATAACAAAATAAAACAAGGGGCTGGAGAGATAGCTCAGAGGTTAAGGGCACTGGCTGCTCTTCCAGAGGTCCTGAATTCAATTCCCAGCAACCACATGGTGGCTCACAACCATCTGTGATGAGATATGGTGCCCTCTTCTGGTGTGCAGGCATATATGCAGACAGAACATTGTATACATAATAAATAAATAAATCTTTAAAAAAAAATAATAAAACAAATGCAGTCTGAAGCCAGGCATGGAGCCTCACACCTGTAACCCCAGCAATTGAGAAGGAAGAGGATCACCATGTATTTGAGGGCAGCCTAGATCCTTTCTCAAAAAAATAAATAAATAAATAAACCCATACACACAGGCCAGTGAGATGGCTCAGAAGGTAAAGACACTTGCCGTCAAGCTTGACAACTGAAGTCTGAACACTGAGACACATGTGGAAAGAGAAAACAAATTTCCATAAGTTGTCCTCTGGCCTCTATATTGGCGACTTAGAAATTTAGTGAGTATTTCAAAGAAATTAATAAAGCTACATATGTGCACCATGACTCAGACACACACACACACACACACACACACACACGCACGCACGCACGCACGCACGCACGCACGCACGCATATCCACACACTAAGTAAATGTAATGCAAACAAAGAAAAGTATGTGTCACCTCAGCTTTGAAATTTTTTATATATCCTTGATCATTTCTTCCTTTCTATGGCCTTTGTTCTCCCTAAAACACCTATTAATCAAACATTGGGGGGCTGGAGAGATGGCTCAGTGGTTAAGAGCACTGCTTGTTCTTCCAAAGGTCCTAAGTTCAATTCCCAACAACCACATGGTAGCTCACAACCATCTGTGATGAGATCTGGTGCCCTCATCTGGTCTGCAGATGTACATGCAGACGGAACACTGCACATAACAAACAAAAACAAAAAATCAAACATTGGATTTAGAGATTCAGACTCAGGATATATATATATTGCACATATTTTTTCTTTTCTTGTTTGTGTTTTGTTTTGTTTTGTTTTGTTTTGTTTTGTTTTGTTGAGACAGGGTCTCTCTATGTAGCCATGGATAGACTGGAACTTCCTATGCAGACTAGCCTGGTATTGAATTCACAGAGACCCACCTGCCTCTTCCTCTGCCTCCTCTGCCTCTGCCTCCCAGGTGCTAGGATTAACACCATGGTGCCATCATACCTGGCCCACTTTAATTTATTTTATTCTGTGTCCTGGAATATTTATTTGAGTTCATCTTTCTTCTCTACTGAAATTTTCATTTCAACAATCTCTTGGCCCTCCCTGCTTTTCATCACAGGGTGGCTCACAACCATCTGTATTGAGATCTGCTGCCCTCTCCTGGCCTGCAGGCATACATGCAGACAGAACACTGTATACATAACAAATAAATCTTTAAAAAAGAAAAGAAAAGAAAGAGAGAAAGAAAGGAAGGAAGGAAGGAAGGAAGGAAGGAGGGAGGGAGGGAGGGAGGGAGGGAGGGAAGGAAGGAAGGAAGGAAGGAAGGAAGGAAGGAAGGAAGGAAGGAAGAGACTGCAATGTTTGTTTTTGTGAGTCTTTATTTTGTCTAACAGTGATTCAGTTTCATCCATTTTCCTGCAAATGTCATAATTTCATTTTTTCATTATAGCTGAATAAAATTCCATTGTGTTTATCTACCACATGTTTGTTTGTTTGTTTGTTTGTTTGTTTGTTTGAGACAGGATCTCTCTGTGTAAGTCTGGCTGTCCTGGAACTCACTATGTAGACTAGACTGGCCTTGAACTCACAGAGATCCACCTGCCTCTGCTTCTTGGGTGCTGGGATGAAAGGCATGCGCCACCACAGCCAGCTCTCCACTTTCTCTATCCATTCATCTAGGGATGGATACCTAAGCTGGTTCCATATCATAGGTACTGTGAACAAGGCAGCACCAGCTCTACCTGCACTTTTTATTTTTAATCATGTTTCTCATTAAGTTGCTCTGATTGGCCTTGACTCACTATGCAGCACAGGCTGGCCTTGGACTTACAACCTCCTGCCTTAACCTCTCTAATAGTTGTTATTATAGACATGTTCCACAAAGCCGTATACTTATTTTTCTAATGCCTCAGAATAGCTGGGCATGGAGGAAGAAACAGGTGGATCTCTGTGAGTTCAGGGTCAGCCTGTACTACATAGTGAGTTGCACTATAGCCACAAAATAAAATAAATACAACAGCACAGATTTTTGTAATTTGTTAGTCATTCGTCTTCGATGGATATCTAGTCTATTTGCAGTTTATTGCTGAGCCCTGGGGCAGGGATGTCCAGATGTCAGATGTCTTGTTTGTGTCTGAGTACTACACAGTCATTTATCCTCTGGACATCGACAACTTGTGAGTTTCTGCATTAGTCACTGTTCACCGCACAAAGAAACTTCCCTGATGAGGTCTGGGAGCTGCACTAATCTATGAGTACAGACTAGTGTACTGGTACAAATTTAGACGGCAGTTTGATACTGTGTCTATTTAGCAAAATAATAGTAGTAGTTCATCCCTGCAGCCTACGAGCTTCCAACCACAGGTTCTGAGCCAGATTTGAAGTCCCAGATAAGTGTGTTTCCTTTTTCACGATTTATGGAGTCCTAAATTGTCTTGTAACATTTTTATGGTTTGGTTTTGTTTAGTTATGTCTTTTTGCCACTTGAAATTTACTTTTTAAGATTTAATTTTTATATGTATATGTGTGTGCCTGCATACATATAGCTGCACCAGAAGCATGCAGCAGCCCACAGAAGTCAGAGGAGTCATTGGCTCCCCTGGAACTGGAGTTGCAGGAAATTGTATGCTGTCACGTGGATGCTGGGAATCAAAACCCAGGTCTTCTAAGAACACTAAGTGAGGGGGCTGGAGAGATGGCTTGGAGGTTAAGAGCACTGACTGCTCTTCCAGAGGTCCTGAGTTCAATTCCCAGCAACCACATGGTGGCTCACAACCATCTGTAATGAGGTCTGGCGCCCTCTTCTGGCTTGCAGTCGTACATGCTGTATACATAATAAAAAAAAATAAATAAATCTTAAAAAAAAAAAAAAAAAAAAAAAAAAAAAAAAAAAAAAAAAAAAAAAAAAAAAAAAAAAAAAAAAGAACACTAAGTGATTTTTAACCACTAAGCCATCTTTAAAAGCAGAGGCCAGGCATGGTGGTGCAGCCTTTAAAACCAGCACTTGGGAGGCAGAGGCAGGTGGATCTCTGAGTTCAAGGCCAGCCTGGTTTACAGGGTGAATCCCAGGACAGCCAAGGATACAGAGAAACCCTGTCTTAAAAAAAAAAAAAAAAAAAAAAAAGCCTCAATTTCTCCTCTAATATGAATGACTACCTAGTAGGAGTGCCAACACGGACAATGAATACGCACTGTAAAGACCAGCATGAGAGGCTGTGGGGAGAACAGTAAACTCTGGAGAAGACTGCTGAGATCCAAAAGCTTCTAGACACGAGGAAGTGGAGCCGTAGGAACTGCTGTGACGTCAAGAGAAGCAGGGTCCAGAGGGAGCAGTGAGAGGTCAGGCCCTTTAGTAAGGGGACAGGCAGAGGAATTAAGAGACCTCTGGAGCTCAGGGCAGGTTTATCTGAATGGAGCGGCAATTGTGGGTCACTGGAAGGTCTAGAACCAAAGAAGCATAGTTAATACACGGTTGGTGGAGGCCTAAGGTTCAATCCCCACCATCAGAAAAGAAGAAAGGAAAAAAAGCTCTTTGTAGGCCACAGACAGAATGAAAGTGTGAAAAGTAGCAAATGGAATTCATGGGTCATCTGGAATTCCAGTGCTCGGAAGGCAGAGACAGAACAAGCCAGGCTGGCCTTATTGGAGAGTTCCAGATTCAAATGAGAGACACTCCCTCTGTGAATATGATGGAGAGTGATGAAGGAAAATGTCTGGGGGCTGGAGAGATGGTGCCATGGTTAAGAGCACTTATTGTTCATGCAGAAGACCCAGATTCAATCTCAGCACCCATATGGTGGCTCACAACCATCCATAACTCCAGTTCCAGGGGATATAACATCTTCTGGCCTCCAGGGAACCACATGCATGTGGTGTGTGGGAGCCCATTTTCAGGTTCCTACTGGCTTTACCCAGCAGGTCCTCATAGAGGATGATTAGGACCACGGGCCTGAGTGCAGGTGTCTGAGATGGTCTGCACTTGGCTGTGCTGGGGGGAGGTCTTTTGTTCCACCTGTGGTGGTATTCTAATTGTACTGAAATGTGATTTTGATTGTATGTTAATAAATAAAGTTGCCCGGGGGTCAGAGCTATTAGAGCCATAGACAGAGTGTGGCAGTGGTGTC